GGTTGTTGAGAATGTCCGCCTATGAACTTCTCTTAGAGCATGCAAGGAAAGTTGCCATAAGAGCTCCACGAATCTGCAACAAACGTGATAGGTTTAATCAACGTTTTTAGATACCACGGCATCTATTGCTGAAAGGATAGTACTGAGCACAGTTTTTAAGGATACCCAGAAACTGCTGGCTCCTGGTAACAAGAAGAGGACATTGTCCCAGATAAAAATCACAAAGATCCTACCAAAAGGAATCAGAAATGACTAACAAGCCCAAAAACGATGTTTTAGAGAAGCTAACCTGATACTCATTGGATCAAACACTACAAATATTCATATTACATTGACAAATGCATCTCACACTTGATCAAAACCAGTTTTATGGTGATAAGTACGAAGAAACAATCGATAGGTATAGCAGTTTAGTCGCAACTAACCTTGGTCCACAGCAAGTAGCTAGGGATGAAACCCTCGAATTACTCCTTGGTAACGCCCCTTGGGTTTCAAGCTCGCTGATAATCCCTTGAACAACCTTCAAAAGCACAATTCAATGGGTAAGTGACTCGGAGTTCAAAAGGAAGTAGCATGGTACTGTTCACATAACCAGCAAGGACATCTAAACTATCAAATTATGTGAATAATCGAAGTTTTCCTTCCATCTACCTTCCGGAAATCGCGAGATTGAGCGGAATCGAAAATTGGCCAGACCTTATCGAAATCCTGCGAGATCGAGACAAACCCAAATCAAATAGGGAAACGAAATCCGACAGATCAAACTCCAACAGCACCTCAAGGAACACCCAAAAGCACCAATCACTATGTTCGACACCCAGGATCCAAACCCGATTTTGTAAAAGTAAGCAAGACATAAAGACACAGACGAACTCGGAAAAATCGTACTTTCGCAGACTGAACGGGCCCTCGAAGCGAGGATAGGATGAAGTAGAGAAGCTGTTCTCCGAGCTTCGGGTTCGAATGGCGGAACGACCCGACTCGAGGCGTGCCGTTGGAGCCTCCGGGCCCGATCACGGACGGATCCAATCCTAATAGCAAACAGTTGGTGTACATTGCGCTCTCCAGCTCCAACTCTCTCTCCTTCTCTCTATCCATCGTCATCACCACCGTCTTCGATCTTCTTCTCTTCTCCCTCTCTTCCTCGTCTTCAATGGCTTTTTTTTTCTTATCAAAATTTCCCCTTTTTTAAATCTCGATCGAAATGTTGTTTCCAGGGACTTTTTAAAAACAGGTCCTTGAAGATATGTAAATTGTGAAATCACTACCTTAATCGGGGTCATACTGTAAATATGTAGAACTAAGTGGTTCATTGTTTAATATTTTGGACTTTATCGAGACGTAACGTCAGTTGATAAATATTGGGGATTTTGAATTTGGAGATCACAAGGTGAATGCTAACGTGCGCTCACGGCGTTGTTACCAAATCGTAGTGCGCCACGTGTACTAGTATGGTGCAAATTGCCAGTATTACCGTGGCGTAACAAATTCGGGTAATTTTTAGCGTAAAACTCAAATTATATATTTATAGAGTTAAAAAAAGTATTTATTTTTGGACCATTGGAAAATAATACATGTTAAAAAGTTGTACAAACTCAAAAAATACATTAAAATTGTATATATTCCGATTCCAAAAATGCTAACGAAATTAAAATTGTCCGCAAATTTAAAAACTATACAAGGGGAAAAGAAAAAAAAACAAAAAAAAATGAAATATTGAGAAGATAATGGCATCACCTATTAATAATTTAACTGCTTTTATTATTATACTCAAATATTCAGATTCTAAATATTAAAAACATATTGTTCTATACATATCGTCTTATACATATATATATATATATACATATATGAAATTTATTGAATGCGCTGATAATAACAAACTTCTGAAATTTAGATTTGTCATTGTGCGACAGAGTGGGTAAATTTAATTGAATATTTACAATTCGTATTGTTATTACTGAAATTGCAACGTCTGTCCGCCAGTCAGTTTTCAATTTTATATAATAATGCCATGTTATCTACATTATCCTCATATTTGGACCAACATGGTACATTGTATGTGTACCTATGACTCCGCCTTATATATAACTTGCAAAAACAACTATGAACTACATCAATATAGTCTGGCATACAATTGAATGAAGATAATTAATCATATTCAATTTGATACAAAGTGTAATAGATATGATTTTTAAAATAAAATTTAAATATTAAAAAAACATAAAATAATATAAAATAATCATTTTTATTTAAAAAAACAATTCAGTATAAATCTGAATCCAAAAATTTACCTAAAATCAGATGATATCATTTTTCAAAAATAAAAAACTTAAAAGCTGAAAATAATAGACCATGTAATATCAATCCTTAGTTAAAAAAAAATATTGGGGTTATTAGATTAATATAACAAAAAAAAAGTAATAGTATATTCGAAGTCTCGTGGCATTAAATATATACCAGCCATAAAAAAAACATTTTAAGCATATAATATTTTGCGTATATTATATTTCCCTTTTTTCTGGTAACTTGAGCACCAATTGTTTAAATCCACAGTGTAGCTTGGAAGCAAATCAAATAATTATTGCCACAACATACCATTTTGAAAAATTTGCCTAAAGAATGCAAATGATTATGCTCTACGATTTTTTTTATTTTCCAGATAAATCGCAGAAGAGTTCGGATTCGGTTCGGTTATATTCATGTTCAATTATTTTATTTATAGAAAAACTATAATCATTCGATTTTTATATATACTTCGGTTCGATTCGGTTTTTGTTGTAACTAAAAAATTTATTTTTCAAAAAAATTATCGATTTTTTCAGTTATTTTTTTAATTGATTCTGTTCGATTCATTTTTTGGTTTTAAATTTTTTTTTATTTTTTATATAAGTTCAATTTGATTCGATTCGACTATTCGGTTAATAACCAAAATGTTCACTCTAACAAGATATTCGGTAATAACCCAAATATTCACCCTAGAGAAATCTTTTTGGGTTCGGATGATCCAGGCCATAGTTTAGGGCTCAAACTGTTGTTATTAGCAAATTCGAAGAGAAAAAAAACTTATAAAACACAAAGACATTGGTTCATATGACTAACTTAGTTAAATAAAAAAAAAAAGAGAATTAAAATTTGGCAGTTAGACCGAAATATTGGCCGTGGCTGGCTTTTCTGTTAGACCGTAATCTTTGTTTATAGATTTCATTTATTAAACAACGATTAATTTAAATAATTTAACTTACACGAGGAAACTCTTTTGTAATTTATAAAATATTGGGGTCAATGTCTAAACGTTTAAATATTTTGTCCTCTCTCGCGATTTCCGAAACTAGGGCGCGTTTATACACACGGACTCGAGTATATCGACGGTGACCGCAGTGAAGAAGCAAAGAATATCGGTGTGATGTTTGTAGATGGTTCTTCGCCACTGACCTTGAAGCGAAGACGGCTCTCAATCATCGATCCCATGGAAGCTGTTTCAGTTCAGGTAATCACTTGCTTCTTCTCTTCTTTTTTTCCCCTTTCCATATTGGGTTTGCTTGATCTTGATTCGGATTTCTCGCTTCGAAATTCAAGCTAATTTCGATTAGGGTTTGATGATAGCAACGGTAGTTTGGAGTAAAATCGATGTTCAGGGTGAATTCTGGAGGCATTAGGGGATGGTTTTTGAACGATCTCTTACCTTTTTTATATCGGATTCGATCGTATTCTGAGTAGTTTATGGAATCAGGCTAAAGCTGCTGCTACGAGAGAAAAATTCGGGAGAGAACTTCGCGTTTTTGAGACTCCAAGCGCTTCTCAAACGCCAATTCAAGCTTCCATTGCTGGTAAGAACATGGGAAATTAAATGGAGCCTTTTCTGATTCTTCGTTGAAGAGTCTCTCTTTCCCTTGATGTTTCTGAAACTGAGACTTATTTGTATGATTTTCTGGGATTCAACAGAAGAGGAGTCTGATGAATTCTACGAGCTTACACCTGAAGATTATTACCGGCTTTTGGCCACTAAGAAAGATGGTAAGACATTGTTCAGTTTCTCTATATAAGCCTTTTTTTCTGCTCTGCAGGTTCAAGAATGCTATTGTACATGTACTCCTATCCTATCAATGGCCATCCATTATCTGAATCATTTGTTGATTTTGGAAATCGTGTTTGTTGTGTGTGAATGGGTGGCTTGTCTCTATTTCCCCCTTTAGGATCCAGACACAAATCTCTTGCCCAGCCATGAAGAAAAATGACATTGCATACTGTTTGTTTCTTTCATACTTGGACTTGGTTAGTTCATCTGATGTTTAAATGTTCGATAGATAAATTCTTGAAGACCAGAAAACTACGAGAAGCAGAAGAGGCTGCTCGTCGATCTAAACTGACAAAGGTCCTTACACTTTCTATCTCATATCTCATGCTTTGAAGTTGTTTAATCCTGTAAGTTATTCATTCATGAGAATTGATATGCGTAGGCTGTAATCCGGGTTCGTTTTCCTGATAATATCACATTGGAGGTGAAGTTTCATCCAGCAGAAACAATTCAATGCTTGATTGATCTCCTCAAAAGAGTTGTCGCTCATCCAGATATTCCTTTCTACTTGTGTATGTTTCTCTTCTTGTTCACTGATTTTACATTCTTGATGCGATAGAAAAGAAACCCTAACATCCCATCATTCTGCAGATACGACTCCTCCCAAGAAACAGATAAAAGATTTCTTGCAGGACTTCTACTCTGCTGGTTTCATTCCTGGAGCAATTGTCTACTTTGCATACGATCTGTCAAGAGGTTGGTTTTGTGTCTTTGGTTTCCATATAACAAACACATCAAAGATACTATTTCATGATTCATTGGACTTTCTATTCTCTGGTAAAATGTGATACCCATGGCATGGTAGTTCACAAATCAGATGTATACGAGCCAAAAAATTACCCCGAGAATTGTATGGCAAACATACAAAAGAATGGTTTTATCGGTGAAAGTAACGAAGATCATGCTAATTAATGTTCAGGAAATTATAACCTTAGAATGATACTCTTGTGTACTCATCAGCAGTAGGGCAATAGATTTTGTCTCAAACTGTCTTATTTTCTGCACTACATAGACATAGTACTTATCTTCATGAAGATGAGCTTTGGACTAACTTGTGAACTCGATGGCCTTGACAGATAATTCTGCTGCTGCAGCTGCTGGTTCAAGCCCTTATCTTCATGAAGAGATTCTGTCCATTAAAGACGTGGAGGTTGTTGAGCCTGAGCCGGAAGGACCAGCCCAGCCACCACATGAGCCAGCTACTGATGTCTCTAGTCCTGCACCAGTGGTCCAAGAACCCAAACCCGCGGACAAGAAGCCCACCAAACCAAAGTGGTTCAAAATGTGATTTGACATGGTACTGGTTCCAGAAGCTGTGGAGGACTCAGGTTTGTGTGATGACTCGGACACGACCCGGCAGACACAAAGTATACTTTTGCTTGGCTTGAAACTGATTTGTGTCCCTTGTCTGAGTCATACAACTCTTTTCTATAAATTAAATATGTGTCTTTCTAGGAAGACCGGAGTCGGAGTTGGGACATTTCAGTGCTTATTATCATTGGTGGAGGTAACGGGTCTGAAACTTAAAGATGTCCAGCTCTATATTGAAAACTATACTCGTAGCTTTTGTGGGTGTAAATGTAGGATGAGCCCAAGTTGATTTATAACCCATGGTCGGTCCATTATTCCATATATATATTTGACTATTAGGATAGCCTGAATGAAAACAAGCTGTTTTCTCTTCTTGGCCGACCACCAACCCATCATCTCATTATTATTTGTATGTATTATATATAATTTTGTAATTTATTACTGCATCTTGCGCTAGTGGGTGGGTGGATATGGTATGTTAATGTTTTCTTTAACTACATAATCATTGCTTGCCTGAAATCATTGAAATCAGTAGAATTTTATAGTTTTCTTTATGTTTAAACCAAATCTCGTTTTTCATTCAATTACTATCCTTCTTTTTTTTTGGGTCCTCGGCATACGGTCGTGACATGCATGTACTTGGTTTAAATAAATAGTCTGAGTTTCGTTTTGAGGATATAACTGATGAACCAATTTTCAGCTGCATCCATCAAATGTTCAGACAACCACTTCGGTGCTAAAAACCTTTTTAGTCATGACGACAGCAATCACACCTAACACAACTCCCGTATTCTGCAAAGGGACAAATACGTATTTGCCTTATTCGTACTGCGTGTGGGGCGACTGGTAGAACGCCAAAAGGGAGAGAGAAATCAACGTCCCACGGAAACCACCAACCAACAGTAGTAGTTGTTCTCCTCTCTCTCTCTCTCTCTCTCTCTGTCTCTCTCTCTCTCTCTCTGACGGATTGATTCTTGCTCCGCTTCCTTCGTTTTCCCGGAATCTTTGTTACCGGAGTCCGAGTTCGTGCATTCAGGTTGCTCTCTTTTCGTTTCTCCTCCGTTTTTTTTTTGTTATTGGTTTTGTTCCTTAGTCCGATCTTGTTGTGTTTGATTGTTGGGTTGGAGAATTGAGGCGAGTTTGATCCGTGATCCGTTTGTTTTTATTTCCTCGGCGAACTCCGATCCATGCAAATGGGGTTTTGTCATTTCTTCGTTTGATTCCGGAGTTTCGCGTCTCTGTCAACTAGATTCTGCTTGGATTTTGAATTTGTGTTCTCTGTTTGGCTCAAATCGTGCATCATGATTCTGTGACGGGCTCAATTGGACTGATCCCGTAGTAATTTTGTCGAGTCGCGATGGGATGATCCGTGGGTTTTGTCGGCTTATGATTCATCTATCGCACCACAGTTAATTTTGATAGCCGCTGGGGTCTATGATTTCGATTACGCTGCAAAACCTATGCGCAGTTGAATACTTTCATTAGTTTGGAGTTCCTACGAACGCTACGTTTGTTGTTTGACCGTTCTGTGCTTTTGACCTCCTGCATCTGTGAGGCAGGCATTTTGCTTGGAGCTTAAGCTTGTGGAAGATGGAAGATGGTCAATGGCACGTACAGAAAAGATCTAGTTTCCGGAACGATTCGTTTGTACGAGAGTACGGTGCTGTCCCCGAAACTGGGTGCCTCTCGATCATTGTTCTTGGTGCCTCGGGTGATCTGGCCAAGAAGAAGACCTTTCCTGCACTCTTCCACCTATATCGTCAGGTTACATCTCATAATCGCATGTTTTAAGGTTTCATGTCTGTGTAGGATGAGCCCTTTATCAATATTATCGACCTGTTTTGATTGCTTGATCAGGGATTTCTCAGACAGGATGAAGTTCACATCTTTGGTTATGCTAGGACTAAGATTTCTGATGAAGACCTGAGAAGTCGGATTCGTGGGTATGACCCTCTGATATTACACATGTGCTCTTGACTCATCTACATAACCCAGAGCAGAAGTTTTTCTTGATTGTTAGTTCTTGTCCAAGTTTATGAGATGCAAAATTTTATGCAGATACCTTGTTGATGAAAAGAATGCATCTGAGCAAGCAGAATCTTTGTCAGAGTTTCTGCAGCTGGTTAGTTCTTTCCTTCGCAACATATTCCTTGCATGAATCCAGATCCATGTCTCGTAACTCATATTGGGTTTGTGTTTACAATTTCTGTAGATCAAGTATGTGAGCGGTTCTTATGATTCTGAGGAGGGATTCCATAGATTAGACAAGGCGATTTCAGAGCATGAAATCTCAAAACGTAGTTCTAAAGGATCTTCCAGGAGACTGTTTTACCTTGCACTCCCACCCTCAGTTTACCCCTCTGTGTGCAAGATGATCAGGACATGTTGCATGAACAAATGTGAGTTCCTTCCAATAAAGTACTTCCTTTTCTTAGATACCAAGGACTAACTTGTGTGCTTCTCTGTGTAGATGATGGTCACGATGCCACTTGCAAAATATTTTCATTTTGCAATTTCTCTCATTTATTTTATGTCGTTATCTTCCAGCTGATCTTGGTGGATGGACTCGGATTGTTGTTGAGAAGCCGTTTGGCAAGGACTTGGAATCTGCAGAGCAACTGAGCTCCCAGATTGGAGAGCTGTTTGACGAATCACAAATCTATCGTATTGATCATTATCTTGGAAAGGAGTTGGTCCAGAACATGGTAACGTGTTTGTCTATTAGAGTGTATTTGTTAATTGTTGATTTATATTGGAATGGATCTTCTTATCATCATGTTACTGCAGTTGGTTCTCCGATTTGCGAATCGCTTGTTTTTGCCGCTATGGAACCGTGACAACATCGACAACGTGCAGGTGAGAGTTGTTAGCTTACGTAGAAATTTCCAAACCGTTGTTTAAAGTTGAACGCGCATAACTTTGAAATGCTTGGACAGATTGTATTCAGAGAAGATTTTGGAACCGAAGGGCGTGGTGGATATTTTGATGAATATGGGTAATACTTTTTGAACCTTTGCCTCGGTTGTTTCTTTTCTTGTGATGTAGATGAAGTGGAGATATCTGTGAGGTTCTGATCAAATGTTTACTTTTGCTTTTTCAGAATAATCCGTGATATTATTCAAAACCACCTGCTCCAGGTATGTGCCTACTGAATTCTTGATTTTACCTTGGGTTATGAAAAACATTTGAATGTGTTCCTTGGAGTTTCTCTGTAATGGCAAATGCATTCATATATTAACAAAGTTTAATGAGCTGCAGGTTCTTTGCCTTGTTGCTATGGAAAAACCAATCTCTCTTAAGCCCGAGCACATCCGGGATGAGAAAGTGAAGGTGAGATATGTTCTTTTTTTCTTCTTTTTTAGAGGCTATATGTCTTTTATTCTGGGCGGACAATTTCATGGAATTTCTCTGTTGTATGTAGCGGAACATTTTCGTTTAGAAATCTCTGTCAGTTGTGATTGTTCATTTTGGATTTAGTGATATTTTTCATCTACTGATTCTTAAGTAAACATTTAGGTGCTTCAATCGGTGCTCCCTATAAAAGATGAAGAGGTGGTTCTCGGGCAATACGAAGGGTATAAGGATGACCCGACTGTTCCAGACGACTCCAACACTCCGACATTTGCCACAATGGTTCTTCGCATACATAACGAAAGATGGGAAGGTGACCATTCCGTTCGCATCATGATCATTATGACTCTAAAATCTTTAAGAAGGAACCCGTGGAACCCATATTGTACTCAAATAACTGAACAGAAATCTGTTACTTTATATCATCCATGGGCTGATAAGAGAAAATTTTCTCTTCAGGTGTTCCCTTTACATCATTAGTGTCGCTGTTGTAAACTTATCATTGATTTGCTGATCTGTTTCTTTTACTTTCAGGTGTTCCATTTATAATAAAGGCCGGAAAGGCAATAAACTCAAGAAAGGCAGAGATACGTGTTCAGTTCAAGGATGTTCCCGGCGACATATTCAAATGTATTCACTCATTCCCTGAGAATGTGTCTTAACAATGGTTGAAATTGTTCTTTCGGTTCCTATTGTTTACTTTTTTAGGTTGAAATGTTTTGTGTTGGATTGCGTGTATTGAGAAAGTTTTCGACGGTTCTAATCTCTCTCTCATGCAAAACAGGTCAGAAGCAAGGAAGGAATGAGTTTGTGATACGCTTGCAGCCTTCGGAAGCCATGTACATGAAGCTGACGGTAAGTTTTTCCGTCTTGATTGATAATAGCCTTGATAGATATCCAATTAGTCGTCATGCCTTTGCGGTTGGTATCTTAAAGCAAATGTCATTTTTTTCCAAAAAGAAAAAAAAAACTTTATAGTCCTAGAAGCAGCCTCTTGCAGATATTTCTGCAAGGTAAGGTTTGCCTACAATACACCCTTGTGGTGGGACCCTTCTCCGGACCCCCGTTCAACGGGGGCGCTTTGTGCACCGGGCTGCCCTTATCCTCTGCATACAATGTTTTACTAATAGGCGCATTTGGCCAACAACTTGTTGTCATCCATATCTCGCCAATGCCAACTGAAATTCATCGTTGGATTAACTCAGTGGGTGTAAAATGAGATCCTAACAAGCTTGCTGGTTTTGAACTCGGCTTGGTCCAGCCCATTTTTTAAACGAGCTGGAAATACTAGTCCTAGCTCAGCTCGCCTAGTTCGCGAGCTGGTTCTTAAGGCCGTTTTTTAAACGAGCAAAAAAATACCTTGACCCAACTCACTAAAAACGAGCTAGCTTGCAAGCTACGACTTGTATTACACCTCTAGACTCCAGCCAATGATCAGCTGCGACAGTTAGCCTGCTTAAATTGCTATGATATCCAATCTCTGTAGTATATGAACTATAGAACCATCACTCTCTCACTTTATTGGGCAGGTCAAGCAACCGGGGCTGGAGATGTCCACCGTGCAGAGTGAACTTGACCTCTCCTACAGACAACGTTACCAGGGAGTGTCGATCCCCGAGGCATACGAGCGCTTAATTCTCGACACGTAAACAAAATCTATCTGAGATCAAAAAGCTCCTTTTTCGATCGAATATATATATACACCCAAAAAAAGAGAAAAAAAAAACTGTAGTTCTGAACTGTTTGATGCTGTCTTTATGCAGAATCCGAGGGGACCAACAGCATTTCGTGCGAAGAGATGAATTAAAGGTAAAAAACTTGTATAGATTCAGAGTTATTCACCACACAAGAAAAGAGATCCTTTGAACAACAATAATACCATGATTCTCTTCTCTCATATCTTTGAACAACAATAATCACATGTTCATCGTTAAGTATTTGTGCGTTTGTATAAATATGGTATTGTTCTCTAAGATGATGAAATGGCAGGTAGCGTGGGAGATATTCACCCCGCTGCTGCACAGAATAGACAAAGGGGAAATGAAGCCGATTCCGTACAAACCAGGCAGCCGAGGTCCAACCGAAGCCGATGAGCTTCTTGCCAAAGCAGGTTACCTTCAGACCCACGGCTACATCTGGATCCCTCCTACCCTCTAGTCTATATACATATATATATAAACCCTTATTCACATATATATATATATATATATATATATATATGTATGCATACATCGATCCATCTACGTACGGATATTATGGGACAAGCGAGAGCAATAATAATAATAAGTCTTGATGGGGCTTGGTGTTTGTATGTGAATGGGCATGACTCTACTACGAGTGTTCCCCTTTATATCCTAAAGTAAAGAGCCATTTCGTTTGGTGTATATCTATTATATATATATATACACGCATATATTATTTTGCTTTCAAATATCTAATCATCTGACGGACTGCCAGCGTTACCGAATAATCATCAACTAATAGTATAATAAAAACAAGTTTGTTTTTACCCGAAACGATAATCTATTTATTTTTAATTATAAAATCAGACTGAACATTTTATGAATTGGGATAAGATTTAAAAAAAAAAACATTTGTGAAAAACGTAGTGCACGTGGTCGGAAAATAAAGAAGGGAAAAAGATGACGCGCCTACTGTTGCAAAAAACTTGGAAATGTAGCAAAACATGGCATTCCGACGACAGCAATCACACCTAACACAACTCCCGTATTCTGCAAAGGGACAAATACGTATTTGCCTTATTCGTACTGCGTGTGGGGCGACTGGTAGAACGCCAAAAGGGAGAGAGAAATCAACGTCCCACGGAAACCACCAACCAACAGTAGTAGCGTGAGATTCTTACAAGCCCTTGGGATTTTACTCGCGCGTATGGATATTTAAATAGAATATATATTTATAAATATTTTTGTGAATAAAATAAATTAGCCCATTTTTGAAAGTGGGCTTCACATTCTAATTGGAAGCCCAGACAGGCCTTTGTGAAACAAATTTCAAAGCTGAACCTACGAATTATAATTCTCTCTTATACACACTACATTCTATATACGGAGTTGAGCGACGTTCGACACCGCTGCCGACACGCCAAGCCCGAACGCCGCCTTGGCGAGGTTCGAGAGGAACGACCGCCGGCTGTCGACTTCCCATTTCGCTTCTTGGATGCCGTGAGATCGAGAGGAAGGGATTTGTTATGGTTTAAGGCTTTAAGCTTTTAATAAGAGATGAAACGAGTGGGCTTTAGATAAGCCTGAGTTAGGCCCAATGCCTGAGATGTTGGGCTCCAAAATGATATAGTGGGCCCATTTTAGTAATACATAACATTAGGCTTGTTATGGGCCCATGAATAGCTCTCGGATCAAGGGATTTTAGCTCAAAATAATTATATTATTGTAATTTATACAAATAGAGAAATGCATTATCAAGCATAAGACAACCAAAAAAACACATACTAATTTTAAAAAAAAAACTAAGATGTATTTTACCAAATGATGAAGTAACCAGACACATTCACATCATACGATAATACTTTTAAAAAGATAATGAAGTGTCTCTTTCTTGGAAAATTCGCAAATATTAGATTTAAAATTAATTATACAAAGAAAGTCACATGTGATGACCCAAGCACGTTATTGAAATGTCAAATGTTTCGGTGTCCATATTCCAATCTTACATAAGATTTAACAAAAAATGCGTTCACATAAAAATAAAAAAACGAATATGATATTAACTTTACTTATATTCCATATTCAGGCATTTTTCTTTTTTATAACCCAAGTCGTAAAAATCTGCTTTAGGGTTCATTTTTTCAACATTTTGACCCCAACCATTCTCGTAGATAAGAGTGTACGTTTCCTTTCGAATAGAGGAAATGAAATATAATCAAATTAGATAATTGTTAATTAGATATTTTTTTTTTGTAAATCAAACAAATAAAATATAATTCGGAAATAACAATAATTTAGATTTCTAATATTAAATCATTTAACAAATAAATATTTTTAAAGAAAACCATATTCAAATAAAAATATAAATTAAATCAAATATATTTTCAAAAAAAAAACTAGAACTAAAAAACTCACATCTAAAAATAACTATCACAAATCTAAATTTAATTTAAGATCCAAAATATCAATATAATAGTTAAAAACAAAACTGAAAGTTAAACTTCAAATAACACATGACCATTCATTATAAAGGTATATTCATAGGATTAGACACCTTCTTATTTTATATATAGAAGGGAGTATACACAAAGTTTTATGTGTGAACAAATTTACAGAAATTAGCCCTTATTAGATGCTTGAACATCTGAATTATAAAAGTAGTAATTACGGTTCAATTGGCAAAGTCGAATATATAATATTTTTTATGTTAAAAAAATATATATAATATATATATTTTTTAATTATCGATCAAATCGGGTATGTTTCGAATTCTCTTAAAAAACACAAAAAAAAAACAATTATTTTCTTTTATGAGATATATAAAATATGCGGAGATATTTTATTAATATTTATATAGGCTTAGGGAATAGAACACCACCGTTATCAACTTATGGACACCCCCAAAGTTGACCTAAAACGAGAGTGGAGGAATCTCTACGGCTTCCCTCTTATCCAAAACAAGTCTTTCATTTTGTTGACTTCCTTTAGTTTTGCTTATACGATTCAATTCAAATGGAATTTTATTTTATTGTCAAATCGAGAATGGGAATCTAAAGTTGTTTCTCCGCATTCAATTTATTTAACATATTATAATTTTATATCATCAACAAACTCCGTATACATTATATTTATATATATGTGGGTGGGTGTGTACATGTGTTTGTACGAGCGGCAGGAAAAGACCAATTAAAAAAAGGTCAATGGGGAGAACCCACTTGACACAAAAATAACATTATATATATATATATATATATATTTAAAAAAAAAAAGTCGCAGTTGTGAAATTCAGGGACTCAGATGGAACTGAAACTTCTTCGTTCTAAGAAAACTATATACATTAAAAGAGTTAAATCCTATGTCTATATTTTTGGTCTGCCCTCTTTTCATGTACAAACCTTTTTAGTTCTAGGCCTCCTCGGCTTCTACACTGTATATAATATTTTGTTATATAATAATTATATGGTATGAATTTACCAAAAAAAATATATTATTTTATGGTATGAAATTTTCATACATATTCACATATTTCACTTGTGAATCTATCTCTCTCTCTCTCTATATATATATATTGGTTAAGAATCTAAATTTATATCAAGCATGGAATTACTAACAACTATAAAACATGCGATTGATGGGGGAAAAAATACAACTCAGAGATTAATATTTTAGACGTTCGGAAAACAGTTTTTTGAATGTTTCTGTTTAGACGTATATTTTTATTTACTTTTACGAACATTAACGAAAGAAGTGTAGCTTTGGTGAATATAAATGAACTGCCCAAAGTTAATATTTATTAGAGGAAGGACCACCATATATAGTAAATGATGAGATTTGGTAGAGTATACATATATACGTATACCTATAGTATAGATATATGGAAAATACAGCTTGGTTTCCTGAAAAAAAAAATACAATTAATTAATCGATGGAGTGGAAGATGGATTAGAAGCAATGAATGGTTGAATATTCAGCAAATTCCAGCTCATCCTTCTCTAAGTATAGTTTGCTAAGTCAAACAAAAACGTCCGCTTTTGATCTCTCTCTCTCTCTCTCTTCTCTCTGCACTTCGGCATTCACATTCACATAATATATAAGACGTGTGTGTGTGTGTTTGTATATGGTTATATATATTAGTCTTACAGCATAATATCTCAAGAGTTGTGAAAGGTTGAAAATCTCTCTCTCTCTCTCTCTCTCTCTCTCTCTCTATCTCTCTCTCTCACGCGCATAGAGAGAGAGTGACGCAATGGGAACTCAAGCTCCTCCGGAAGATGCATACCACTCGAGTGTTAGTCTCTCTCTAAGATCTGAATCTCTTTTGAGTTTTATTTGTTATAATGACTTGAGTTTTGTCGGACCATATATTCGATTAAAGATGGGTCACTTTGTTCCAAGGAAATAAAGCTTGCGTTCTTATAAAAAAAAATGTATCGAATTCTTCTTCTTCTTCTTTTTTAATATGCGAAACCAAAGTTAATGAAGATTGAAATTTCACTTTCTGATTCGTTAGATAACATAACGCGAATGAAATTGTTCAATGATCCTTGAATGCTTTATTAAATTATTTTTCCCTTTGCAATTGTATTTTAGTTTCCGATTCCTTGTTCGCCTATAGTTCAATTAAAATATTACACGTAAAAATAATAAATAATATAAATTATGACGATATGAGAGATTTTAAAAAATTTCCAAGATTTTTCTTAGATGCCGAATGCATGGCCCGAATTAAAGACGAAATGTCTTGTCAAACATTTATGAATATTATATATATTATATTAATATTTACATAATCTAAAAATAATAGACCATGCATTACATATAGCAACGTTTGATGTAAGGCATTGACTTGTTGAAGGGTTTGAATAGTTTTTGTACCATCAAGATTCAAGATCGCTTTCGCTTGTATTTCTTCTTCTTCTATTATTTCTATAAATTAGATGGAAAAAAAAACAAAGTATGGGTGGGGACCCACAGTTTTGACTTTTCCAAAGGTTTGGGAACTGAACGGTGAACTCCAACCTCTACCCAAATTGTCTATAGATCCTCAAAAAACAGCCCCAGACCTAAACGCCCCAAAACTTATTATTTTGCATTTTAGCCCTACATTTCACAGAAATCCTCTCATTGATGCTCTTGTTTCTGTGATCGACGAAGAACAGATAGAACAAAAGCTAGCGAGGCAGAAAGAGATCGATGATTGGCTGCCGATAACTTCGTCGAGAAATGCAAAATGGTGGTACTCTGCATTTCACAATGTCACCGCCATGGTTGGAGCTGGTGTCCTCGGCCTCCCCTACGCCATGGCCCAGCTCGGATGGTACGTAACATAAATTCTTCTCAGACCATACACTCACTTCCCCCCTCTCACACCTTAACTAACCCATCTGTCCGGTCATGCGTCTCTGTAATAATCAATCTCAAGGGGACCAGGCGTGGCCGTACTGGTCCTGTCATGGGTGATAACACTGTACACGCTGTGGCAAATGGTGGAAATGCACGAGATGGTCCCTGGGAGGAGGTTCGACCGTTACCACGAGCTCGGCCAGTATGCGTTCGGAGAGAAGCTCGGTCTGTACATAGTCGTGCCTCAGCAGCTCATCGTGGAGGTTGGCGTATGCGTTGTGTATATGGTCACTGGCGGGAAATCTCTGAAGAAGTTCCACGATTTGGTCTGCGACGATTGCAAGCCCATCAAACTCACTTACTTCATCATGATCTTCGCCTCTGTCCATTTCGTTCTTTCCCATCTCCCCAACTTCAACTCCATCGCCGGTGTCTCCCTTGCTGCCGCAGTTATGTCTCTCAGGTAACTCACTAACCAGTTCCTGTCGGTTTCTAACAAAACTTAACCGGATATTGTTGAGATTGGTATTGGTTAACCGATAAAACCGGTTTCAGCCGAACCATTCTACATCGGTTACAAACTTGTGGTAGTTGTTACCACCATATACATTGAATCAATCCATTCGGTTTAACAGTGGATACGGTTCTATCTTAACCGATTTCTCGGGTAACCGGGTTTTTTTTACGTTCTGGAAAAACAGCTACTCGACAATAGCATGGGCAGCTTCGGCAGCAAAGGGAGTTCAAGAAGACGTTCAGTACGGATACAAAGCCAAGACAGCGGCCGGAACGGTGTTCAACTTCTTCAGCGCGTTGGGAGACGTAGCGTTTGCGTATGCAGGCCACAACGTGGTTCTTGAGATCCAGGCAACGATCCCTTCGACGCCCGAGAAGCCCTCCAAGGGACCCATGTGGAGAGGTGTCGTAGTTGCTTACATCGTTGTCGCTTTGTGTTATTTCCCGGTGGCATTGGTCGGTTACTGGATGTTCGGAAACGCTGTCGAGGACAATATCTTGATATCGTTGAAAAAGCCGGCTTGGATAATCGCTATGGCTAATATATTTGTGGTCATCCATGTCATTGGAAGCTACCAGGTAGATACGCAGATATATCTACTCAAACCAGATCGATCTGAAGCTTAAACTATTGGAACTCATTGTCTGGTTTGTGAATTTTGGTGCAGATATATGCCATGCCGGTTTTCGACATGATGGAGACGCTACTGGTCAAGAGGCTGCATTTCAGGCCAAGCCGAACACTGCGGTTCGTCGTGCGTAATTTCTACGTTGGTAAGTATAGATCACACGATTACAGCGAGGTCACTACAAAAAACTGTTTCTGATTATTAATTACTCCGTGTTTTGGTTCTGATGCTGCAGCTGCAACAATGTTTGTCGGTATGACATTCCCGTTCTTCGGCGGCCTTCTCGCGTTCTTCGGCGGATTTGCGTTTGCCCCGACAACATACTTCGTAAGCTTCCGAGTTTCGGCTCTCTTTATCGATGTTAAAAGACATCATAGTTTGGCCAGAATAATGATACTGAAACAGCTGTTTCGTTTTTTTTTTTTTTTTTTCCTTTTGGGATGTTGTCAGCTTCCTTGCGTAATGTGGCTTGCAATCTACAAACCGAGGAAGTACAGCTTGTCATGGTGGACCAACTGGGTATGTGGAAACATGCACACTGTACATACATACATATATATATATATATATCTATATGTACACACAACTCTTAAGGACGTTTGTTTTTGGGAAATGTACGTAACGTTTCAGATATGCATCGTGCTTGGAGTAATGTTGATGGTGGTATCACCGATCGGAGGGCTAAGGACGATCATTCTCCAGGCCAAGCACTACAAGTTCTACTCGTAAGTTGTCTGCTAAAACCATGCAAAGAGACCACAAGGATCTGATCATCTAATTCCATGACCTTTCTGGTCTGAAAACTTTTGTGATTTTAGGTTTGTGTATGTCAGAGACTGTGTTTCTGCCAGTCAAATCTTTCTTCTGCTTCTTTCTTTGTTTGGTTTTCTGGGTATTTCTTATATATGTTTCTCTACTGAGATTTACATTAGCCATTGTACACATCTCAACGAATATACAAGAATCATTCAAAATAGTTTTTTTTTTCCCGTGTTCATTCATATGAGATTGAAATATACACAAAGCAACGTCTATGTATAAAAACTTTATTATAATATAATAATCTGCAGAGAGATAATTGATTGTGAAACAGAGTTAGGACTTATGATATATATATATATATGCCAATTGGAGAATTGAGCTTATGAAAGTAAGGAAACACAACGTCAAACACAGAACATTAACACAACAAAAGACACGTGAGCATCTGTTTGTTCTGTTCTTCACAGCTTGTGTCCATTTGGCTACAAATAAATGTAGTGTAACAGAACCACTGGACTATCGTAGTGTGTGATTAGAGACATCCGTTCCAAAATTCATACAATGAGATCTTGACTCGTCCCATTTTGGCTTAGTATATATGTTATTGTTCGTACTGTATATTTGGATTTATGATATATATCTACATTTATATATATATTCTCAATCGATTTCACCTTCTTCCACGTCCTTGGCCAGGCTCGGAAGAGGAGCAGGAGGAGGAGGGTCGGGTTCATCTTCCTCGTCGTCCTGTTTCATGTACAGACCGAGCTGCTCCAGAGGGTTACTCCCACTCAGCTTGAAACTTCCAAGTCCCTCCAGTGTCCTCTCTGGGCTCGTCTCGTCCGCCGAGCTCGGTATCTGCTCGGGCGGCCCTGAACTCAGCATCTCCAGGTCCTCTAGAAACCGTGAATTCTCATTTATCTCCACTGTCTTTTCCATCTGCATATCGAGAGCTCAACCAAAAAAGCCAACATTATGGCTTTTTAAAGAAATGCATCTTCTTTCTGTACAAAATCATTCAGTTTCTGGATCGTTTTTTTTTCTGCATTTTTACCATATCGTAATAAATTTTCTCTAAACCAAACACCCATGAAGTTCGTAATCATGTAATGCAATTCGCGGGTTAATTAATATCATTATTACCATTAACAGTGCTTGGCGGGCTGCTTCTCGCTCGAGTTCTCTCTTCCGCTTAGCTTCAGCAGTAGCTGCAGCTTCAGCTTGCCGGCGAGCGTCTTCAGCAGCTTTTGCTTCAGCTTGAAGCCGAGCTTTCTCTGCCAGATAACCAACAACGTTTTCTCATTGACGAGAGAACTCGATAACAGAACATCTTCTTCCCACAAAGAGAATTAGAATTAGGGTATTATACAATAGTAGCAAAGTATGCACCTTTCTTTTTCTGCAGTTCAAATTCTTCTCTTTCCTTCCGCAGCCTTTCCGGATCTCCTTTAACGTCATTCTGATCTCGGGGAGAAAAAAAAGACCAAAATCAACTCAAGCTACTTTCATAGATCATATGACGAGTACTCCAGAACTCAAGACATGACTAGGAGCACATCATGCATGCCCACATTTGGATCAGGAAACTGAAACAAAGGCGGGCATGATGTGTTTGAAAATTATCCCATGTTTTGAAGCAAACATTGGCAGAATGATGGTCATTCACCATTTTGTCCTTGGGTTAGTTCCAGAATTGAACTTAAAAACCATTTTTGTGTTTGGGATTATGTCGTACAGATTTTCAGTGGATTCGGGAAACAAAAAGAGGGTAAAACAACATATAATTTTCGGTTTTCAAAGTGAACTTTAATCCATTTATGGAAAATTCTAGAAATTAAACAATTTACAGATTACACATGCTAATGCTACAGATAGACGAAATTCATGGAAAGCACAAACCTGTGGAAGCGTTTTCTCGCGTGCTTTTAGAATGATATCCGCAAAACGGTTCTTCAATAGGGCAGCTCTATATAGCTTTTCCGAAGAAAGTTGCCTCTCTAATACATTTCCTGAAGTATTATAAAATCAAATGATATGTTGAGATACTGAACTCATGGCTCAGATGAAAAAATTTTCTATGCTCTTTTATCTCACCATCACGGTGACATTCCGAATCGTCAGAACTCGGCTTTTGGTGGGAAGAACTGTCTAGCTGATCCATCCCACTAGGAGATTCTGTAACAAGATACATTTGAGAAACACATTTGAATAAAATGAAAAAAGCATAGAGAAAAACATCTTGGTAACATGACATCCGATTATCGAAACCCTCTGTGGAAATCATTCCATTCAGATGACATTCAATTCACAGAAGAAAATGCCATCCAACCAATAGATAGCATTTAAGGGAAACAGCAGCAAAAGATATGAAGAATTTCCCTAATCTTTCGAGTCATTGAGTGACTAAATAACCCTATATTTTATTTTGCTTTTCATAAAAGATCTTCCAGTCTCCAGACGTGGATAATTGATCTGGGCAAATTATGATAGAACTACATCCGGCTACTGTTAGTTCTGTGTGTCTGCTAAAATTGTTGCGAAATAAAGTATTTGCAGCGCAACTTTTTTGGCCCAATTTTGTCTGTAGTTTAGAACATTGTGATGGATCCAAAGGAAGCAAATACTTACGGCTTCTTTCAACAGCACCGTCAATTCCTGTCTTTTCTTCTCTTTGTGCTTCAGAATTTTCAGTTTCAGGCCTCTGGAAATTATGGAGTATTGACTCATTAGTTCTGATCAATAACATATAACAAATAAGGCAAATCACAAAGCCTACCTTGGCCACATTCTCTTCATTCATAGCTTTAGCATTATCAGATTCATCTTCAGAGCTACTAGAATCTGAATCTGCAAAAGCAACACGCAATTTGATACCATATGGAATCCATAAGAAAAAAATGATATTAAAACCAGTTAAAAGCTAAATTTCATAGCATCCCAATTCAAGTCTGACACTTTATTTATTATCTATGCTCCAGAGTGCATCTTTCTTTCTGTTACTATGAAAAAAGAATTCGAACCAACAATGCTGTCAGTACAGCTACTGAACTTTGATGATCATAAGATTGACGAGACTGGTATTGGCAAACAGAAAGTTAGATGAAATAATCACAGGAAATATACAGTTCACTGAAATTTAATTAGAAATATGTGGTCAGATATATGAAAAAGTAATAATTATCAGGCCATGTGAAGGCTGCATTTCATTCTATGCACGTTGCAGTGAATGACCACTAATATAAGTTATTAATAGTAGAATACGTATGAAGCAAGAATGAAAATGACAGAACATATATGAATACAGCATTTATCCATAAACATAGTAGCCATAGCCAAGTCATTATACAACGCGCGTATTATCAACACACCACAATGGTATGACAACCACAGGACACCCTGAATGAAGGAAATTTTAAAACAAGTTGAGAAAAATTGAAAGAATTGGAACTAACCACTGGAGCTGCCTGAAACAGGAGGTTCATTCCCACCAACATACTCGTCAGCCAATTCATTTCCTATAAATGATAACAGAGGTTAGAACAATAGACAGAGAATCGTAGAGCACAGCGGGGAGATAAAGTACACCAGAACTAATGATCCAAGCAGAATTTGACTTTCACCTTGTTGCACTGATGAATTGCTAGGTCCCGACCCATTTAGCAGCTGCACCAAAAGAAATCCATTTCTTGCCAGTTACATTACCACAAAAAAAATGGTTAAAGAAAATGAGAGGAAGCTTACCTCTATTTCACAGGGCTCAACAGTGGACTGCTTATTTTCCTTCTTTATCAGGTACTCATCAAGAAGTTTTCGAAGTGTCAACAGAACTTCATCACCGAGAACATCAATGTCAATCTCGATTTCATCTTCCCCAGTTTCCGTGCCATTTGAACTGTGTTTCTTAAGGAAGTCGATGATATGTGCAGGAATTTCATCCAGTAGGGATTCGAGCTGTCTCCCCAAGCTGTGCCTCTCCTCCTCGGTCATAGCATGTTTTACAGGTTCCACAACACTCTCTCTGAAAGGTGAAGCTGTCTTCCTCTTCTTAGCCGGAGGGAGTGACTTAGCTACTTTCCTGTCCTTGCGAGGTTCAGGAATTGTTTCCGAAAAAGGTTGGGACTCAACTGTCGGTAGCTTCTTTTCGATAGTTTTCCACCGAGATTCAAACAACTTGCTAAGGATATCAGCCATGATGTGAACATCATGCCCTGGCGGATTATATGTCATTGCATTGGTAAATGTAAGCCTCACATCAGCAGCAAACTCAAGCGGGCTTGAGTATACACCAGAAGTTAAGTTCGTCCTCACTGTCCCTAAATCCATCGGATGTTTGATAATAGTGAAATAGTCCGGTATTTTCAATGCCACTACGTCAACAGGTGCCTTAAAAACCCAAGCATGCGGATGAGACAACAATTTTTTCAGCAAAGCGTCACATTGCTTCATCAAAGCTTCAGTAGCAGTGCTGGTTAGAGACTGATTAGCAGACTCAAACTTGCCTGAGGAACCGCGGTTCCATCCACGCAAATTGCTGGCCTGAGGCTGTACTTTCTTTCCTGGACCCTTCACGTAATCTGAAGACTTCTTAAAACTACTGACACGAGATGAATTTTGCAGTGTGCTAGAGCCAACCCTATCATTGCTAGATGAGACAGCGGTCGTATTCAGCCGCTGCAACTCAGCTTTCCTAAGAACAATCTTCGTCTGCTCCAGCTCAAGTTTTAGCCGACGAATCAAATCTTTTCGCTCAGACTGTGGCATGTTACACAAGGAAATAACTTGCCTTGGGACACCGTAAGGATCTTCATTAGTAGAATTCAACCTAATACATTTCCTTGTAGGCGCACTTGAATTCTCAGAAGCAGTGACCTCAGTATCGATCTGCCCAGAGCTTCCAGATCCCTCTGATTCACCAGTTGCTTCAACCGTATTCTGGTAGTACCCTCTGGGAAGCACAACATTTTCCACCATTTTCTTGGCAACAATTCCCACTGAGATAACCTTCACCGGGTTCTACTATGCACTATTTCCGGCAGACGGCAGACCTGCGTCAGATGTATCTGTTCTCTATTCACATACTCCACAAAAGATAAACCATTCCATCTTTTTCCCCTTTTTGCAGTTAGAATTCTAGAGACGTATTTCCAAGATCTCACAGAAACAGCAACAGCGTGGTATGACACAAACAGCTAATTGCATCGATGTGACAAATCAGATCGTGGAATTATCGCATAAACAAGAGCAAAGCCACATACAGCGTTTAACATGCACGCAGACGATCTGGATCTAAAAAAGTGGGAACTGCGAGAAAGTGAAATCAGAACAGATATGCCCCAGCAGTCTGACTTCGTTCTATCCAAGGCCAACCACAATTCGAAGCCCTAGCTTAGATAACTATTTAGATGGCGATCCGTACCCTAATAACTAACTATTCGAACTGGAGAAAACCCACAAAGAAATTAGGTCGAATTTTACCTTTTGCATCTCCTATAGTCGATTGGCGAAGTCGAAGAGACCTCTTACCACACCGAAATTCCAACCTCTTCTTCCGCAGAAGCAAAACTCAAATCAGACACGACAACAAATTGGAGTATCCAACTTGGATGAGAACTCTCGAGGAAAACAACCCCAAACGGGAAGGCGAAGCCGAAGCTGAAAATATTTCAGAAACCCTAAATCGGATGTTGTCCCCAGCTCGGAAACTCCCAAGTCAAATTCGAGATCCAGCCAAACGTGTAGGAAGAGAAGCTTGAGCAGAAACCCAGCGAAACAAAATTGAAGGCTGAAACAAACCTGAATCCCGCGAACCCTGAAGGCCAGAGCTTTTTCCTGGAAAAGATGGGAGAGAAGATGGTGTCGGAAAACGGAACGAAGTTTCTCGCCCCCGTTCTGATATATATATTTTTTTAAACAAAGGATCAGCTGATGTTTATCGCCGAATTTTGTTAAATCCTGACCGCCCAATTTCCCGCTGTCTAATCGAACGGTCATCCTACTAAATAAATCACAGCCGCCAGATCTGAATCCAACGGCTAAAGAAATTTATCTTCGTCGAGTAATTACACGCGTTTGCTTTGGCCAAATCTGACGTGGCAACTTTGACGGGGACGATAGCGTCACAGTGCTGTGATATTTGACGAAATTCTCTATAAGGTTATTTGACGGTGACGGTAGACGTTTAGTGAAGCGCAATCCGATTGGCTGAGATAGTCGTGGATCACGTGACATTGCGTGCTACTGGAGACTGGAGAGTGCAGTGGAGTGAGAAGCCACATGTGTGGCGTTTTTATGTTGTGAAAACAACATGCATGTCTCGTCTCCCCGGTAAATTTGTAACCGTCTGTACTCTGTAGATTCCCTGTCGTCCATCGTCCATTGTTGGTTTTTTTTTCTTTGTCAAAATCCATTGTTGGTTTTTCTTTGTAACCGTCTGTACTTCTGTGTCTAGGAAATTTCCAGTTGCGGTGACTGTTTGTGTATTCCCTATTTCCCTGCATTTTCTTGTCCTTCTAGATGCTTTTTCCGCAATCTGCACTGCTTTTTAAGATGATCCTTTTTCTGCAATACCAGCAGACATTCTCCTCACCATTTTCAGCTTGCCCATTATTCTGAAACTGTGAATTCTGCTTCCCGTCAAATCTGCCCTGATTCTGAAAGTTACCATTGAAGTTACCTTTAGCCATTAAACTCGCTCCTTGATTCTGAAAACGTCCTTCTGTAGGAGATCTAGGGTTCTTGCGGGGTGAATTGTAGAACTACACGCTATTTTTAATACCAGCAGACATTCTCCTCACCATTTTCAGCTTGCCCATTATTCTGAAACTGTGAATTCTGCTTCCCGTCAAATCTGCCCTGATTCTGAAAGTTACCATTGAAGTTACCTTTAGCCATTAAACTCGCTCCTTGATTCTGAAAACGTCCTTCTGTAGCCTTGAAATCGAGTTCCTTAGAATAAGCTGCATTAATCACATCCTTGAGTGTCAAAATATTCTTACTAAACCTCAAAGTGTCCTTCACATGTTCATATTGTGTCGGCAATGAGTTTAGTAAGTAGATAACCTTGTCTTCGTCTTCAATCTTCACTTCAATGTTCTCCAAGTCAGAAATCAGCTTTCTAAACTCCGTTATATTGTCTGCGATGCTTTTGCTTTCATCCATACGAAACCCCTAGAATTTTTGCTTCAAATAAATTCTTTCAGGAAGAGCCTTTTCCATGAATTCTTCCTCTAAAATCTTCCACATGCCTGCTGTAGGTTCCTTGATTACACTTCTCAGAACTTCATCTCCTAGACATAGGGTTCGACTGGTTATACCGCAGCGGTTACGGTTGCGGGTGGCAGCGTTTTCAGAACGTTTGATAGCGATTATAAATGATTAGTACTGACTGGTTGAGAAGTTGCTGTTGGTAGCGATTGCGGGTGGGTGCAGTTAGAAGTGAATGGTTCATTACAGTTACGGTTGCGTTTTGATATAAATTGTTAAAAAAAATATATTATTTAAAAATAATTTTTTATAATAATTTTAATTAAATTTTTCGTATCATTTGATAAAAATTATTTACTAAATTTATAATAATTAAATAATAAATTTAAAATATAAATATTATCAATTTAATTTATTTTTAAGTAAATTAATGTTTTATATAATTTCTAATAAAAATATTTTAGTTTTTTTGTCAAAACGCCGGAAACCGCTACCAAAACGCAAGTTGGAAGCTGCGATTAGAAAACACAAGTTTGGTTGCGGTTGCGGTTGGTTGCGGTTCAACCAGTCAGTTTTTCAATCGCCCGCAACTGCCAGAAATCGCAACCGCTCCGTTTGCGGGTGGCGGCGGTGCAACCAGTCGCCCCCATAGAATCAATGTGTTCCTTGTCTTTTTTAATACATCAAATTTCTCTCCCTCTGACATTGCTGCTGGAAATTCAGGATTCTGTTTCAAGGCTTCATCTAAGCCTAGATTTCCTAAGTACGCAACCATTTTTTGCTTCCAAAGCATAAAATCACCTTTGCCATTGAATCTCTCGATCTATGTCCTTACTGTCGCCATTTTCTGCACTAAAAACTGCAGTAAGTCTAATTTATGTTCTGGTCGTTATCTTCTGTTTATGTATATCTTGCGAGCTCCACCTTCACCGTTGTTTCCCCTCGCAATCCTACGTCTGTGCACTAACAGGTTTGTCCCCTTGAATCTGATTTTTCTTTTTTTCCTGACTTTTTGTGCTAACTCTTTTCTGGGTGTCCTTGCAGGTTCTGAAGTCTTGAACTTGCTGCCTGCTGCCTGTTGCCTCCTGCCTTGTTTCTTGCTTTCCAAGAAACTGCCACTGATCCGGTAAATCCTCTGAAATCCCCGGAACCAGGCTCTGATACCACTTGTAGTGGGGTCAGGCCTTGTTCCACACGAGCCCAACTCCTTTTGTAAGCCCACGAATTAAACTTGCAAGCCCAGTCCACACACTTGGAAGAAAAAACCTTTCAGACTGTGTCTTGCTCGAAGAACGCTTCCAAACCCTAGCCTCACGTACGTTCTTCTTTCCCCTTTGGTATCTCTGCCTCACTTGCTTTCTTTCTCTCTGATTTATGCCTCAGACACAACACCACCAACAACGCCGTCAGAGATGAACGCAGATACAGGTTCGACTTTGGTTGTACCCGAATCGAACACCACCAGAAGCGACGGGTCTCGGGTTGATGTTCTACCAACGATGATGTCTCCGACAGCCACCGATCTGCACAGATTCGACAGAAAACGCAGCAGGAAAGGAATTACACTAAGAGAGATAAGTAACTAAACCCTAAGTCTTGTTTCTTTATTACTCAGATTCTAGGGTTTGTTCTTGTTACCGATTAAACGTAGGGTTTGATTAGAATTGATTCTGGGTATTTGTGGATGATTATATTTAGTCTTTGCACACAGAAACTACACCAACGCACACACTCTTGCACAGTATGTTTACGAGTTCGAATCACTCGATGTGAGTGAACCTACGTCTCGGCAGGGCTTTAGCCCTATATCAATCTCACTAGATTTTGAGTTTCCTTTTACACAGATTTTCATACAGGAATACAATCCGATTCCTCAAAACACACACACTGCAATAAGCAAACAGAATCAAAGATTAGAACTTAGCTTTCTCTGCTCCAAAGAACTAATGTCTTCTTCTTCTTCTTGCAGGGGTATTCAGCTTCTTGAAGAACCCTTCAGAAGCCCTTGATTTCTGGTGAAAACTGAATTATGTACGTATACTCATCCCTTCAATTATCTGCCTTTTATAGATATAGGTAGATACTCAGATTTTTTGATTCTTAACTTTCTTTGTAAATCTCTCTCACGTGATTCTTTATCTATGTCAGCATAACTCATGCCACATAAGCATTCTTCAAGTCACTTTCAACAATATATATATATATATATATATATTATGGCTGTTGTTAATTTTGTGAAGAAACAAGAACATAACAAAATCATAAAATCCAATACCACATGCATATGAAACATGACAATTTTAATGATAGAAGGGAGTGACAAAACATTTTTCATTGGTTGAATTATCGATGGAATGCGAATTTCGACACAACCTTACAATTAGATGGAAAAATCCATCCACAATTTATAAAAATCAAAAGCCCAAAATGATGTTATAGATGTTGCTGACACGAGTACATACATATATATATGTATATACTTGCCATACTATTCCAGAGAAAATCTTACATGACATATCGCTAGCGTGTATATTGGTATACTCGTACATAATACATTTTTCATTGACGAATATTTATATACATATATATGCACATGTGCTCGCATATATACGCATAGTGTCTAATGCGAGTACATATATACCCCTCCTATGGTATCTTCTATTTATAAGAACACTAGATCAGTTATACCACAAAAACCGTATTTAAAGCTCGTTTGCATGCATACCATATATATGTACGCACATACATATACACACACACTGAACATTGTGAATGCGTCATTGGATTATTTTAATTATGCTATTAAGAGAAAAATTTCACACAAGCTACTTATACAAATGCCTGACATTACCACATTATTATAATTTATATATTTGTGTTATACGTACATATATATAATATGTACATGTATGTGTGTTGCGTCAATTCGCTATATCCAAACACGAGTAAACTAAGGAAACATTGGCGTTTGCAAAATCGAGAAGAAAAGCTTAACCGTCCGACATCCATTACACAGACGCGCACAATGTGTAATGTTTTAGTTTTAATCATATTTTATAATACACACACACACACACATATATATATATATATATATATATATGTATGCATACACACACAGATATGCATGAATTGACGTTAATTATACATTTTTTGCTGTCAAAGTGTTTCGCGATATACCATTATTTATGTTATTTTAAGCATTTTTTCCCCTTCTGCTTTCATCACCTGCCGAGACACAGAGCAGCTTCAACGTCCAACCTCCATGCAAAACCACCTGACCCCATTTTCCACACATCGCACGGTACAGCCATCTTGACCACCGATCGGCTCTTCTCCTCGTGCCACGTTGACTCGCACCGAACCCTTACCCTGCACGTCACCGCACCGTATATGTCCCCCATGCACGCCATCTCCCCCATCTGATCCACCGTGACTAAAACCCAAACCCTCACATCTTCCTCTCCGGTCACACCCATCATCCTCCGGTACGACCCGTTTACCCACCTGACCCGATTCGATCCGTCCGAGACAAACCCGGGACACGTGTCACCCTCTAAATGCCTCACCCTCTCAGTGTCCGTGCGGCCTAGCTGGCTTCTGATGGCTTCGTCAGTGCACGTGCCCGTCACGCACTCCACCGTCACCCACGAATCTGCCACCGTCCGGCGGGACTGCGAAAGGCTCATGACCGTATAATTTTCTCCCGGAAGTGGGTCCCCGTAAGTATTATTCGCTTTACAGTACTTACCCGTACTGTCGGTGAAGTTAAATACAGCCTCTCGAGTTCCAAGATCGTCTCCTTTTTCCGGCAATAGCTGAAGCGTCACGATATCTCTATGCGACCCACTTCCATCACTGCCCGCATCTTTACAAAGATCTGCTGTCTGAGCCCTCGTCATTTCCACCTTATAGTAACGGTTACTATTACTATGATTATTGTTATCCTTACGAACCCTAACGTACTTTCTCTTGAATCTTCGGTTTCTACCGATAGAAATCCTTGTACCACCAATCGCTTCATCATCAGTCTTATTGAGACAGCCTCCAACTACTGGTTTCGGAGCGATTGGTCGGAATCTTTGCAATATATTGCCGATGACCTTTCTGTTGTAGGGGGCCGACGTCGCTGGCCACCGATCCCCCCCGTCCATGTAGAAATCTCTCTCTCTCTCTCTTACTCCGGTAGGGCAAATTAGGTTTTGGTTTGGGTATGGTAACATGGATGGTGGTGGGAGTGGGGGGAATAGAAGAAAGATGGGCAAAGGGAGAGAGAGAGAGAGATGGGAGGCATATGATATGGGCACGTGTCTAGGGCAACGGGAGAACAGAAGCAATCAATTGATTGGTTGATTGGTTTCATGAGGTGAGAGAGCCACAACCAAGACTGACATACATCTCATAGATTCATAAATCTAAAAAAAAAATGTTATATCCAATTTACATATCGGTCCGTGTCCCAATCCTTTTATTCCTGACTGCGCATTTAATATTTTAGAATAATAATTTTAATTACTTGCACAAATTTCATTCGCCTATCCGATTTAACGTGACGACCAAAATTATCAGACAATATATAACGACGCATCACGACTCGTTCTGTTCTCGAGTTTTGTCTTAGAACTTCATATGTTTTCATTGAATTTTGATTTAAACGCGGTGGAAGTTACAATATATATATATAAAGAAACGATATTTCGAATATCTAAATACAACTATATCACTGAAAATCAAACGGCAACTAATGAAATCCGAATCTTATATATGGATAGAATACATAAAACCATAAGATTATCTTATATACTTAATATTATTATGTGAAGTGTTATGTACGTACATATAATCCGGCTTTAACTACATTTTCCCACAATTCTTGCTTGCAGATCCCCGAATAAAATCAATTATTTCTCTATTTCATGTAATTTTGAAATAAATTATTTTCTTCTTAAATACTGTTTAATACACCAAATCTACTAGATAAAAAACGTTCTACGATCTATCTATATACATATATATAATTAAACTGTCAAGTATTTATATATATATATATATATATATATATATATATATATATATATGTGTGTGTGTGTGTGTGTGCGCGCGCGCGATATATACATATACGTTAGCATATCTATCATGATGGGGACATTGATATTTGTCCGAAGAGTGTTGGACCAATGAGTAGCAACCATCTATTCCACTACCGAAAGCGAAATTACACGTGGAAGTTTTTCAAGCCAATAGGGTCCAACACAACATTATGGAATTATATATACATATATGTATGTGTGTGTCACACACTTTTGAAATATTAAAAAAAAACATTATTAAGATACCATGTCTGATTCGTCCTTACTCCTCATAGATGGATTATATATAATTAACTCCAATTTATTTTCCGTAATCGTCGTAATTACTTTATTTTAAAGCTCGGATGCTGCCGATGCACTAAAGTATACATCTAAAAAGCTGTAAAGATAACTTGTTTTTAACAGATGGGTTGCAGGATTTTTTTTTAAATATTGATATATATATATATATATATATATATCTATATATATATATTCAGGGTTTAAGCCAATAATGTTATGATTAGACGATTACGGAATCTATATATATGAAAATAGGAAAATTGAACTTCGAAGCTTAATTAATTTGATTAAAAAATATTTATATACGCAGACAAGAAAAGAAGAATGTACTACCAGTGTATTAAAATAAGATACACTTGATGGTTACGATAGCAAAATACAAGTACCAACGAATCTCTAAACCAACATTTTTTAAAAATATATCAGTCGATGAGATTGTAAATTATGATTACAGAAACTTGGAAAGCAGATCATGAACAATGACATGATAATAAAATAAATATGATGCTGCCTATTTAAAGATAATTGGAAACAAAAATTGCATATTTATGTTTACCGACCACCTTTTGTTTTCTCAATTAAAAGTAACGAACGGAAATCGATACAAATTCGATGGCTCAAAACGAAATGTTGAAATACAACTCTAAGATTGTATACATATATGATAAATTAATAGTGTAATTGGAATACATGAAGTCATGCGCATGTTTCAAATGGATTCTTAACAAATTAAACATATAACTTAACAAAAATATAAAAAAAATTATTTATCTATAAATTTTAAAAAATTTAGTATTTGTTTTTTGGTGTAAATTCTCTTCAAACTTTAGCAGCTTTATATATAGAGAGATAATATCGTAATTCAACGAATGTATAGTTTTTAATAGAAAACCGGATACGTTGAAATTCTGAAAAAATATATATATATATATATAAATAATTGTCTTTAGACATTAATAAAAAATAAAATAGCTTATCAAGGGACTTCGAGAAATCGTAAACGTAAAGGACTCTCATTGGCTGCAGTTTAACACAAAAGTAAAAAGTAAAAATAAAAATATTTATCTCGAAACATGGGAGATATTCCACCAGCCGAAACGTGGCAGCCATGTACTGCCGGATCGCCTCACGACAAGAAACGTGGACGGTGCAGATGTGGTTTAGATCGATGACTATTAGATGTGGAAGTGACGTCATCATGTCGAAAAGAACAGCAACAGCACATTGAAATACCGGGACGCGATTGGTCGGATTTGTCTAATGTATATTATCGAAATGCCACGTGTACGTTTCTTGGCGATAGGCGTGATGAGTGTTTCATGACAACTTTATTTATTCCTCTCCGAACTTTTTCCCTATCTTTTTCCTCCACCAATGGGATGAGTCCACTCGGCGAAGAATTAGCGAAACGGACAACGAAAGAATCGATACGTTATCATGACTCGTACGGGCATCTGCACATATACACACACCCATATACGCTCATACATATATATATATATGTGCAAATGCATAATCTAACATCGATATTATAACGACCAATAGACCAAATAATATGCATATACATACACATATATACAAAAACATATATAGGAAGACGAGAATACATCGTGATACGTGTAATGAAAGGAATTGAAAGATCATTGGAATGGTCAATTCACAAGCCTATATGATGAGACAAACCCATGAAATATTAGCACAAAATTAAGAATACCAATGATATATATATGTATATATATAAATAAATAAAATGAAAAAAAATATGATTATAAGGCATGATATACACGTAAGAGAAATAACATATGATCGAGAAAAATATGGTTGTATTTAGACATCCATTCAAATTCCCTATATTTATTAACCTATGTTCATGAATCATGTAGGTTATGTGCGTGTAATGTGCATTGAGTGTTTGGCGAGACAATTATAGGATCCCGACATAGTTCATATCATTGTCTCATCTACCATATTGGATGCAGAATTTTTTCCTAATATTAATTCATTCAAATCGATATATGATTCGTTCATATGATTCTATGAAATACTATATATATAGCAAGAGAATTTCTAAATTTATATATGTATATTTTTACTAATTATTTAAAATTTAAAACAAACGATCGTTCGTTATCTTTCAGAAACCAGATTTTCGATCTATATTCCAGTATTTTAGTTTGTTTTTATATCTATCGGTTCTTCGAATTTTAGCAGAAAAAAAAATGCCCAAATCAATAACAATCCACCCAATATCATCTTTTATTTGATATTTGCCAACCAGTTTTTGGCATTATCAGCTATATAAAACTCTACACGCTCATAGATTTCTTCTCACCTTCATTCCTCACACTTAGCCACATTACCATATCATAATCCCTCTTAGTTCCTTCTGTCGATCTTATTACTGATGATAATCCAAGATCTTAATCATATGTTATATACCCATAATAATAATAATCTCACACCACAAAACTATTCTTATTTCTTACCCATTTCATGAGCGTCAAAGCCATAGCGTTAGAGCAGCTCTCGTATCGAGCCTCCATGCAAATCCACCAAACTCCATCCTCCACACATCACACGGCACCGTTTTGATGTGCTTCGCATCCTGCCACGTGTACTGCAGCCGAGCCCTACACGTGAAACTCCGGTATCCACGGAACGCCGTCATCTCGTCCGTCACCAACCGCACCACCACCTCCGGCGACTCTCGTCCGCCTCCGATGACATCGCCGGAGATTGTCCTCCGGTAAGCCTCGTTCACCCACACGACGCGGTCCGAGAAGTCGGATATGAACCCTGGACACGTGTCCTTGTGCAAAGTGCCCACTATCTCCTCGTCCGTACGCCCCAAAGCATGAAAACTCGAACCGCCGTCGTAGTCGCATGCTCCTGTGACGGACTCCACCGTCACCCATGTTTCGATCTCATTTCCCGGCCGCATCCCCGCCGGTGTATCCGCCGGGGCTCCGCCGTCGGCGACGACCCACGTGCCGCTCACGTGGGTTTTCTCCACGGTTATCGTTTCTGAGGTCGGATCGAGTTTCTCCGAGGCCATCGGCGTAGATTCATCGTTGAGATTAGATTTCTCCGGCAAGAGCTGAAGTGTGACGATATCTCCGGAGATGAACGAGTCTTTCTCCGGATCAGATGCAGATCTGCCTTTTCTTCTACAATTGTTCTTATTATTCTTCGAAACCCTAACGTACTTTCTCTTTGTTCTTTTGCTCGTACCGTGAGGGTTGCTGTTGCTTCCGATGCATGGTTCACCAGTCGTCGGCTTCGGAGCGATCGGACGGTACCGGAGCATGAGGGTGTCGACGGTGGCCTTATACTGCGCCATTCCGGCGCATCTTAGCGTGCGCCATAGCTCATCTTTATCCATCAGTCTCTCTCTCTCTCTCTCGTCTCATTCTTCACTCCCTCTCTCTCTAGTCTTTCCGCGTCTCTCCGGTGAGCCGAAGAGATTATCATACGGGGCAGCGGGAGATGGAACGGTAAAGCGCCACGTGTCTAGGGCAAGCATACGATACAGTCGAAACATTGGACGGTTCCGTTAGTTTCCTATGTCATCGTTACACCATATTTATGTCTCTAAGTTGTTTATTTTTTTTAAGTCATATAATACGGTTAATGCCATAATTATGATTATACCACTACACATGACTTCAAAGCTTTCCACATATGTGTAAATTTGTCTATCAACTTTATGCTCAGTTTGTACATATATATCCGATTTTACTTCATGGGTTCGGTTGGAAGTCGTTTTTAACATTTAATTCGCATATATATATATATATATATATATATACATACATACATACATGGACCTATATATATCATTGTGAATGTTTCTGTCATGATACAATGCGAATTCCAAAAATATCACATCCGCTTTCCATTATCCACGACAGCTAAACTATAACCCCCTTCATGTTGTATTGTGTGTATAGTTTTTTTTTTTCAAATAATTTTTGTTCTCCATTTTTCTCTTGCACATGTAATGAAATGACTGTGTGAATATAGCGCTTTCGTCACCGTTCCCTATATAAAAGAATTGTAATTTATGGATCAAAATAATTAATATGTCGTTTTCTAAGCGTTTAATTTGAAGTTTCATGTTTTTTTTTTTTGCTATTCTCTTTGCTTTCGTTTCCTATATAAGATATTTTAATTGTGTCAATATATACATATAATATAGCTATCAATTTTACTCTCAAAAACCATAAAATGTAGGATTCAGACTTTGAATACATTATGAACACCGTTACCATCTAAATAATTGATCCACGAAGGGTGGGCTAGCTATAATAAGATGTTCATATAATTCATATAGTATTTATAATAATTTGATTATACATGTACATACATAGGTAATCAACCAACAAGGGTACAGCAGTTGGTCCATGGTAATCTAAAGAGATCTATTTCTAGTGATGGCTATCCAAAGCATCCAATAATTTTGGTGTCCCTATAGGAACTTGTCATGTTTTTTTTTTTCCCTAGTGAAATTGTGTGTGGGGCCCATGAAAGGCTCAAAGCTTATTTGAAGCCCTCTGATTGGTTTTGAGGGCTTCGACCAATACAATTGCGTGAAGTGTCCTCCTACTCTCTCATCTCAAGCTGTCACGTCATAGACACACATATCCACACACACACACGTATATATATATATATGTATATATGTACATGTCATAGTGGCTCATGCATTTATATATATATATATATATGTGTGCGCGTGTAAGTGTAAATGAATAGACATGTCTCTGAGTGTTATGGTTGGACATATGCTTCACCCAATTCGAGATAAGCTATGGCTCAACATAGACCAATAGATAATAGATAGATATTCACATTTTTATCTGCTTTTTGCTGTCGGAATATATATATTTTTTGTTTATAATTATGGTTATATAACGCAAACCACAATATTAATTCAAATTTTCAGATGCTTCCTCCTATTTTAGTTTACAGAAGTTTATAGAGAGATAAAATTCGGAAATATGTATTTTTTTTTACTGTCTTATAATGAAATTGTGTGTCTTTTCACTATCGCAAATATGACGAGAATCGTAGCTCTGGCTCTGGTCGTTGAGGTTGGAGGCCATGAACACGTGGCGCAATGTCGTTTTTTCGGACCTTTTATCTTTTTCCCCGTTTTGATAAAAGCCGTTGACCGGAATAATTGCTTCCCCCCCCCCCCGGTTCACAAGCTTCCTCGCTCTTGATTGATGGGCCTAAATTAGGACCTTAAGTGTTCTTGCACGAAAGATTTCTGTTTGTTCAGAAAAAAAGGCCAGAGATTATATCCTTTGTTGGGCCGAAAACCACGAACCACTGCCAGGGATTTTGATCACGTGTTATCCACGCGCTACAGGTGGCGTGTGAAGATTTATCTATTGACCCGGATGATTTCTCCAGCGGACTTCGATGGGCTTACAGTGGCCATTCGCGGGCCCATTAATGGCTTATGTTTATATTAATGGGCCTAAAATGAGACCCATAAAGTGCTTTTTCTTCGCTGCCACTCATCTTATTACATGGACTCACCAGTTCAAACTAACCCTTGTTCGTCCGCCGCGTTTCCTCCTCTGTCATTTTGGAGCTGTAATTGTTCCATAGAGAGAATGGCCATACAATTATTTGTAAAAAAAAAAAAAACTCTTAATCGCTGCAATGGGCCAAGTAATGGAGTGAACACATTTGATTTAGGGAGTTGCTATTAGGGCCTTGAGGTGTGAAATAGCGCACCAGAAAGGGGCACGCATCTTTTATTATTAGTGAGACAAAGCTGAAGGAAAGTGAAAAGGGACACGTATCTCTATCAATAACACAAATGAAATATGACAACAAAGATGAAATCAAAATCTATTGGAATCAAAATCTTTTTCCCCCTCATGTGCCGTCTAAACTGGAAAAAAAAAAAACAGCTCTCTTTTGCAACTTCCATCAAATTTGACAAGGGAAATGCGGTTACCTCGTTTCGAGATGTTATTACCAGAGGAAAATAGGCTCCTATCTTCTGGCATGACATATCGACGCGAATGAGGACAGGGACATGGAACGCTCTGTAGCTTAGTTCACTACGTCGAGAACCAGCTTCCGAGACTTGAGAACCGACCACTTCAGTCGCCTGTAGTACGCCGCTTGGAGCAGTGCCAGCGATAGTAGGAATATCCATTTGAAACCCATCTGCATATATATATATATATTCAACCAGAGTCGGCCAAAATCTGGTATGAGAAACTAAAACACTCCGAAAAAATGACATAGAGCTGATGAGAACTGCACGGCTCATTATCTGTAACTTGCGGGTGAGGGTGTCTGGTGATAATCAGGGACTTTGTCTAGAAGAAAAATTAAGGTATTGAAAAGGGTCAAAGGAATTTTGGTGATTTTCCTGGACTAAACTAGACTTGGGCAGGGTAGCAGTGCAAGTGGTAGTAGTTTATATAAGTACATGTATTTGGATTCATATGTTGTTTCAGTCATTTCGCCTGCCAAGAGAGCTAGAATTTTTGGTTCTGGTGTTTAATGTGTGTGTATATATAGATATATAGGGTACACAAAATGCAGAACTTAACAGGACAAAAAAATGGCGCTAGGGGCCTAGGACCATAACACCGACACCAATGTTCCTGTCCAGGCCAAGAAGGAAGAAGAAAAAGAAGAGGAAGAAGAACCTACCAATTTCCTCTCTTCCATTTCGGGTTCAGCTGCCCAGGCTAAGAAGGACACGACATCTTTACCCATCTGTGCCATGAATGAAAGAGTGAGTTACAATCACAACCCAGAGAAATGAATTCAATCATGTGATCAGAATTCTTTCCTCAGCTAAGGAGACCCAACCTGAGCTTCTGTGGCAGGGGTACCATCCTCATACTCCACAGCTCCATCGTTTAGCATTTTGGGCATGGCGATTGCTCCCCCAGGGAAATAAGGATTGTAGTGCAAACCATCTCTTATCTTTACCATTGTCAAAGGGTTGGTCCACAATCAAGAACCGGAAGTTGAATGAAGTCGAATGCAGAAGGGAGATAAAGGAGATTGAATTTACCGAAACACCGGCAGGAGGATCACGGTAACCAGTCAGAAGAGCAAATACATAATTCTGGCCATTGTGGCGTGCCTGGTAGACAGAAGAGTGAGCCCTTTTAGATCCCAGAACACTAAATTTCTAGATATATACAGTTTCCATGAACAAGTGACACCTTGGTTATGAGACTAAGATCTGGAGGGTATGCGCCTCCATTGGCAAACCTTGCAGCTGACTCGTTTGAGTATGGCTGAGGAAAGCGGTCACTGAGCTTACCGGGACGGGTGAACATCTCACCCTCATCGTTAGGTCCATCTTCGACCTCGATTTCAGCTGCCATTGCTTTTGTTTCTTCCTCTGTGTAGGCAACACCCACCAAATCTCGGTAAGAGACTAGAGACATTGAGTGACAAGATGCACAGACTTGCTGGTAAACCTGATGGCCACGTCGGATCCTGATCATATAACAAGCTCTGAATGTTAAAATCAGAGTAGCTTTACATGGCTGTATATTATTTGAAAATATGTCACCATAGAGGGTTACAGTCCAACTTATGTATAGTAGCTGACAAGCAATCACAACTACATAAGAACGGAATATTTATGACTAATAGACGTAGAACAGTATCATATATACAGTTGACAATCAAGACTCACGAAGCATGATCATATGAACTTAGGATGCCATCATGGGGCCAAGGGTAGTTTGCACATTCCAACCCATGTTCAGCCTCATCAGCGGATGCTACTGATGAAAAACTCAATAATCCCGTCACACCAGCACCCACCAGTGCCAGAGCTCTAACACCAGCAGAGCCGGCATCCTCGTGAGCTTTCTTCGAGGAAAACCATGACAGGGTCGGTGCCACCTGCAAGAAACAACTCAACCCTAAAAAAATCAGTTTGCCACAGGCGAGAGTTATGCCCTGACCAGATGCACTGTCAGAAGATTACCAATGATCAGCGACCTACGAATCAGAACTTCACAAGTATTTCAACCAGAATCGTATGAATAACCAAAAACCTTCTGAAAACTGAGATGGTAAATGGCATGTGGCCGAATATGATACACACGGTCGCCTTCTTACCCTAACCAAGGGCTAGCGTGGGATTAAAATTCTCCAACTTGATGTCTCGGAGAATGAGAAATGACAAGAAGTTTCAAGGGCTGATTTTTCGTCATCATAAGCTAACGTGAATAAGCAGCTAAAAGAATCCAAAAAATACATAAGAAATTAATATCAAACAGATCCCAAACTACTATGACCTCCATAGAAATCAAGCTTAAAAATAGCATTGGCTAAACCGAAATCCAACAAACAAACGAAAAAAACACTCACAACTGAAGGGGAATGGAGTTTTCTCCTTAGAAGCCGCTGAATAATTCCTCCACCAACCATTTAGATGAACGCTAATACCAATCGAATCGCTGAAAATGAGAACACGAATGAGTTGAAAAAGCGAAGTCAAGCAGTGATTCGCAGATTCAATACACACATACGCATACTCAAAAAGCGCATAAGCCCTAGAATCCGACACTCCGCAGATCCCAGAGAAATTGATATAAACCCAAGGCAAAAGTCTCCGTAGAACGATTTGAGAAAGAGAAGAAACTCACCGGAGGATGGACAAACTGGATCAGCAACGGCGACGAACAACAAGCGAGGGAGACAGACAGAGGGAGGGAGAGACAGATGGGAAGAGAGGAGAGGAGAGAGAACGATCAAACTAGTAGTATATATAGTACGAGGGAAAATGAGAGTTCCACGATAACACTGTGTGGGTGCGACGCACGACACCAAAACTCTTTTAGGCCTAATGAGCCTAATATTACTTATAATTGAGCCAACATGGGCCTACATGGGCCGAACAATGAAATTATCATGTAGAAATGGCAGATTTTAAAAAATATTTTAGTTAAAAGTAGGCCCGTTTGGGCTACATGGCCTGAACAAAATGAAAATTTTCTTATTTAAGATGATTTTAAAATTAAAATTATATAGTTATATATATATATATATATATATATATATATATTCAGTTAGCAATTTTTGGTACGGATCCGAGTGACAGAGGAATAAAGATCACAGTGGATCAGGCCGCGTTGACGGCCCACTAAGAAAAGACTATAAAACCAAATAATAGAAAATGAAAAAAAAAAAAGGGAAAAACGAGCATGCAAAAGAAACAAGGAGCGAAGGGGTTTTGCTTTCAAAACCACCGGCGCACAATCGCTCCCGGTTTCCTGAGATTCTCCACCGACGCGGGGAATGGTTTTCTGAGCAACCAAACAGCTTTCTCCCTCTCTCTTTCTCTCGGGATTTACCTCCTATAAATGAGCGTTGACGTCTTTTTCACAAGTTGTGCTTAAAAAAATGGCGAATAAAGTTGATCATCATCACCATCACCACCACGTTTCGAGGGGATTGGTGCTCGTATTATCGTTAGCGAGTCTTCTGGGAATAGGATCCATCGCGGGTTTTTTGTGGTCGTCTTCGTCGTCGTTTTCTTCTTCTTCTTCTTCTTCTCCTCCTTTCTCCGGTGTTGTTTCCAACTGGGTTCTCGCGAACTCTTCGAAGATTCACGTGACGAATGTTGATTCATCGATTGTTCAGAAGGTCTGTGCTTTTCCCCCCACCCTTTACCGTCTCTCCTTGCGCTGTGACGTGAATTTCATGCGACGTTTAGGTTGTTTTGATAGATCCCCAAAGTGGGATTTTCTTGTAATTTGAGCTCTGTGTTTGGTTGCTGTGAAAATTGAGGAAAATGCTAGCATTGCTAGGAAGACACTATTCTTCGCCACTCCCAATGTTTTTGTATTTTACTCTGATTTTCTGATAAATTAAAGGAAAACCGTATCCCCTCATTTCTATATGACTTGAATGAAGGCTTTGGAAACGTAGGAAAGGCAAGATTCTCCAATGACATCTCCGAGTTTCGTGTTTGGCTGCTGGGAAAATCTATGATTACGGCATTTTCTTGCGTTTTCCCCTTTCTCACTTCGTCATCTACATTTGCAGAGAAACAAAGAGGGGAAGGGTGCAGAGGACGGTGACCGGTTCTTGTCGCCGACTTTTGCGGATTTGCCAGCCCCTGAGTTAAAATGGGAGCAGATGCCATCGGCGCCAGTTCCTCGTCTGGATGGATATTCCGTACAAATCGATAATCTTTTGTACGTGTTCTCCGGTTACGGCAGCCTCGACTACGTAAGATTGTCCTCCTTTTTCAAACTTTTGGACTGTAGAAAGTCTCGATTTTTAGTTGGATTTCGAATTGGATTTGCAAAACTCGTCTAACCCAGTTCGGATCTGAAGATAAATTGTATGTTTCCGATTCAGGACTCTCATGATCAGATTGTTTTTTTTTTTTTGGAAATCCTTCGTTTGTAGGTTCATTCCCACGTGGACGTGTATAACTTCACAGACGATACTTGGTGCGCAAGGTTTAACACGCCTAAGGAAATGGCACACTCACATCTCGGAATAGTGACTGATGGGCGGCGATATGTGTATGTGATATCGGGGCAGTATGGTCCTCAGTGTAGAGGTCCGACAGCACGGTCCTTTGTCTTAGACACCTCAACGAGGACATGGCTCGAGTTTCCCTCATTACCAGTACCAAGGTAGTTTATCTTTTTATCCTCATTTACCTTCAATTCAAATGATTTGTATTTCCAGGTTTCTTGCAAATGAAACTCCTCTGCTGCTGCTTAAGAGAATGCCTGTCTGTTTATGCTCTGCTCTGCGGTTTTGACAAGTTCCGTTTTCTTTACCCTAGGTTTTGTTGATCTGATGACTTTCCGGGTTTTTCTCTTTATTAAACCTAAGATAAGTTTCGAGTCTATGTTTTGTGGCCATGAAATACCCAACAGAGAGAGAGAATCTTGAGCCTGTTCATAATCAGGACCATGGGACATGTTTTTTTTCTTCAAACTAAGGAATTTTGAGCCTTGGCGCACCACCGGTTAAGGTGTTGTCACAACGTCTCAGGTTCGAATCCCGGAAGCAGCCTCTTGCAGAATATTCTGCAAGGTAAGGATTGCCTACAATCCACCCTTGTGGTGAGATCTTTCTTCAGATCCCCGCTCAACGGGATGCTTTGTGCACCGGGCAGCCCTTAGGAAACTTATGTCAATGTCAAACATGAGTTAAAAATGGGCTTTTGTTTGTCAAAGCTGATGATGCTAATGTAACTTTTCAGATATGCACCTGCAACTCAGTTATGGAGAGGGAGGCTTCATGTGATGGGCGGCAGCAAAGAGAATCGAAACACACCAGCCACCGACCATTGGAGCATAGCCGTTGAGGACGGAAAAGCCATCGAAGGGAGTTGGCGAGAAGAGATTCCCATCCCCCGTGGTGGACCACACAGGTTTTTCTTCTTCGTTTTGTGTTTTCTTCGAGGTTCTCAGCTTCTGAATATCTATCTTCTCAACCTCATTCTTCCCGTGGATTGTTTATGGCAGGGCCTGCATAGTGGCCAACGACCAGCTTCTCGTGATTGGCGGCCAAGAAGGAGATTTCATGGCGAAACCTGGCTCGCCCATCTTCAAATGCTCCCGCAGGCGCGAGGCAAGATCTTTATTCCCCTCTCTCAGATTGGTTTATCGGGCATTGTTACTGTAATTTCAGTCATAAAAGATCATCAAATCATGGGTTTAAGTTTGATCCCGATTTCAGTACTTCTACGGGGAGGTGTACATGATGGACGACGAGATGAAGTGGAAAACATTGCCACCGATGCCAAAGAACAATTCCCACATAGAATCTGCATGGATCATCCTCAACAACTCCATTGTCATCGCAGGAGGAACAACAGATTGGCATCCAGTGACCAAACGCCTAACCATGGTCGGAGAGATCTTCCGGTTCCGTCTAGACACACTGGTAAATAAATTCCCCTCTTCTTTTTTCCCCTCCTAACTGGGGTTCTGAGAGATTCTGAGTTTTCTTGGATCGAACGTGTGGGAATATGCAGACGTGGTCTGTGATCGGACGGTTGCCGTACCGAGTGAAGACAACGATGGTCGGATTCTGGGATGGTTACTTGTACTTCACATCAGGGCAACGAGACAGGGGACCCGACAATCCACAACCGGGCAAAGTCATTGGAGAGACATGGAGGGCCAAGTTGAAGTTCTGATGTTGTCAGGTCGACGACTGTTGTAGTGATGAGAAATTTACATGAAACTACAGTAGAAAGTATATATATATATATATATATAGAGGCGAATTTGAATTCATTCCAGTTTTGTTGTCAGTTTCTTTTGTATATATCAAAAACAGGAAAAAAAATTCTGAAATTTCGCAGGTAATTCTTATGAATTAACTTTAAAATATCTAATATTCTTTTTCTTATCAGAAATTCCGTACCTTTCTGCATATAAAAACTAGTTAGAACTAGAGCTAAAAGCCGAAATTTGGTATATACAGAGGCAACCTACTGGGGAAAATGTCGAGAATATAGATTAGGGTTTGAACAGAGCTTGCTCTTGTCCGGCGACCGGCGTCATCAGGAGAATATCGCCGTACGGGTAGTCTTGCTTCACTCGCAAGTAACCTTTGCTCTTCAACACCTGCAAAGGTTGTAGCAACCCATAAAAACATATGATACAGAACCTGCAGATAGAATGGTCAAAAGCATCGGAGAATGAAAGCGCATCCTCCGTCAATGCCATGGCAATGGCACAGTCCACATACTATTACCCTGTTTCTTGTAAATATACAAATATATACATATACGTCTATGTATGAAACTCATCATGGGTGTCTCCACTGGGCACCATACAAATCACAGGCTGGTTTGACGATTGTCTGGCGTGCCACAATGGACGAGCCACGGCTTAAGCCATAAGCGGACCATGGCTATCGAGGACGAAACTTCACCACTAGACATAAATTACCCGCAACAGAGCTTGGTGGCCTTTTTTCAGTCGTATATGTCACACTACCGAACTGGTTCAAACAAAAAAAAAATGCATGGCCATGAACTTTGAACACAGTTTGAGTCTTGAGAAAGACTGTTTTTAAAAAGTTATCTGGCAATGGCCTAGACTTGTATGCTTTTTCTTCTTCTTTAAAACAGGAGCATGAAAGAAAATTTTAGAAAGAAAAGAAAATACCAGTGTCTCGTAGAAGAGACGTGCGTTCTCCTTCCGTGTTCTTCCTTTGCAGAGCTGGAACAAGCTCACTGTTTCTTCCTCTACTCTTTC